GGAGCAGCTTATGAGTGTGTCTTCACTTTTTGTGTAATTTCTGAAGCTGTTCTGTGGCATGCAAGCCAGGGCCTTTTGCTTTGAGGATCGAATAGTGGGCAGTGCTAAAGCTATTCATCATAGCATTTCTCGAAATGGGAGGTAAGGGTAGCGTGATTAGCCCACTTCTTCGATTCAGAAAGCCAAACGCCTACTAGGAAATCCTGCGACAACAAAGCCTCCACAGCCCAGTGTGAGGAGTTTAGGATAAGAGTTACAAAACTTCAAACAGAGCAGGAGGGAGGGGGCAAAGCGGGGAGGGGCATGTCAAATTGAGAGACTTGACCTCTTCGGTTTCCCCTCAGACTGGTGTAACTGAAAGACCTGGGAACAGCCTCTGAATTAAGAGGCTTTGCAAAGCTCCAGGGGCAAAAGTCTGAGACAAGGAGGGAGATTCTTCTTTTTTCATTTTAAATCGCTCTTTATAAAGGGCCCAGGGTAGGGCCTGCAGCTTAGTGCAAAGGCGCATCCATCGCAATGCAGAAGGTCCCAGCTTCAGTATCCAGATAAGAGATCAAAGGAAGCAGAGCTAAGAAACACCCGGGTTCGAGAGACCTTGCAGAGCCAGAGCAGGCCCTGCAGGGCTGGATGGAACAATGGCCTGACTCAGCTTCCACAAGCAATTTCATTTGCTCTTAGGGTTGCCTCCTAGTGTTGGTTTTATTTGCCTTGTTTCTTCTTCGTCTTCAGCAGCAGCCTGGCACACAGAAATTAAACAGGTGAATCTTTTCCTGGCATGGAAATAAGTGGTGGGAGAGCTCCACTTCTTCGGCTTTTGTATGTTAAAGGTAAAGGTAAAGGGGCCCCTGACCATTAGGTCCAGTCGTGACCGACTCTGGGGTTGCGGCGCTCATCTCGCTTTATTGGCTGAGGGAGCCGGTGTACAGCTTCCGGGTCATGTGGCCAGCATGACTATGGAAAACCAGAGCAGTGCACGGAAACACCGTTTACCTTCCCGCTGGAGCGGTACCTATTTATCTACTTGCACTTTTTGGCGTGCTTTCGAACTGCTAGGTTGGCAGGAGCAGGGACCGAGCAACGGGAGCTCACCCCGTCACGGGGATTCGAACCGCCGACCTTCTGATTGGCAAGTCCTAGGCTCTGTGGTTTAACCCACAGCGCCGCCCGCATCCCTTTTGTATGTTAGGACTTTGTTAAAGTGTACAGCCCTTTCCATGTGTGTCATCGGAGCAGGCAGAATACGCATAGGTGGAGGAGAGGGATTGTGGATGCAGCCTCCACACGCTCCCATCTAATGTAATTTGGTCTAATTTCTAAAGCAGGGGTCACCAACCCAAAGCCATGGCAGCAGCTGGCTCCTCTTGCGGCCCCTGCAAAATGTATGTTTGCTTCTTTAGCGGGATTTTTACACCCATAACATCTAAGCAGTTGACATAGAATATAAAACGTCCATTAAAAATACTGATAGAAGTTGAATTTTGAAAGTAACTTGACCTAAGTTCATGTAGAAACCTCCTTCTTGACTGTTGGACACACTATTAGTCCGCTCAATCTGCAGGGAAAAGTTGAAGCTGTTCCTGGAGTGCTGCTGATGTCCTGCGCTTCTAGGAGCCACAAGTGAGAGCTGAGTGCAGGGTGGGGAGCAAAGGTGGGCAAAGTACCCCAGAAGGAGCATGACGTATTTCCCCACCAGGGTAAGGTAAAAGGTAAAGGACCCCTGGACAGTTAAGTCTAGTCAAAGGCAACTATGAGGTTGCAGCGATCATCTCGCTTTCAGACCAAGGGAGTCGGCTTTTGTCCACAGACAGCTTTCTGGGTCATGTAGCCAGCATGACTAAACCGCTTCAGGTACAACAGAACACCGTGACAGAAACCAGAGCACACGGAAACACCGTTTACCTTCCTGCCGCAGCTGTACTTATTTATCTACTTGCACTGGTGTGCTTTCGAACTGCTAGTTTGGCAGGAGCTGGGACAGAGCAACTGGAGCTCACTCCTTTGTGGGGATTCGAACCGCGACCTTCCAATTGGCAAGCCCAAGAGGCTCAGTGGTTTAGACCACAGCGCCACCCATGTCCCTTCCCACCAGAGATACTACCCCTCTAACACTCCATACAGATGCACTCTCATTAAATCACTGTTTATTTGTTTGTTTTTATTAATCAGTTTTGCTTGTTGACCTCAGTGAGATTTTATGGGTTCCAGTCCAAGTCAGCTGCCTTGCAGTGGACTGAGGCTGGAACTGAGAGAGCCTTTATGCTCTCCTCAAATGAGCATGGCGCAGTTTCCCTGGGAAATCTTCAACAGGCAGCAGGGGCCATTGACTGCAACTGGCATGCGCCACATTTTCCCCAGGAAACGGAGCGATGCTAACTCTGCCCATTCTCTGCAGGCCTAGGTCCTGGGAAACAGAGCCCTTTCCCACTCTTCGGCTCTTGCTTCAGAGATGTTCAGTGGCACTATGGATTTTTAATTTAAGCCCCTGTGGATTACTTTCATATTAAATTGTTTCCAGTCCTATTCATAATCACTTGGGAGACAGTGACAAAAATGAATCTGGGGTCTTTTTCCCTCCTCAAAAGGCTGTCCTTACAAAAAACAAAAATATGATTTCACCTTAAATATACAGAAAAATACAAGGAGGATGTACCTGGTGTGGGGAGGAGACCTGTATCCTGTTCCTTGATAAATAGCCCAAAACTGGAGTACATACATATTTTAGGTTGGCAAGCAAACTCTACTATTTCCCGCACAGCATTTCCAGTCTTCTTTTTACCTCATCAGCCAATTGAAACGATTGATGTAGAACAAGTGTGGTCAGCCTGTGGCCCTCCAGGTAGTTTCTTTTCCAAATACAGTAGTCAGGGATATGTGCATGTAACCCTTTAAAAAATGCTGAAATGCCACAGATCAGATGCTCAGAATTTAGGTTCCTCCTCCCATGCCAAACAGCTGGTTTGTAGGATTTCATCTTTTAAAAATATGCTTACATGCACACAGTCCCAGCTGCCCTACTCATCTTGTTGGACTGATGACATGAAATTGGACCACAATGAAGTGCAGTTATAAACAAATGCAAATAACCCTCTATAACTTCTTTTCTTCAAACCCAGAAAACTGTTGATTGCCCTCGAGGCTGGGGCTGGAGAGGGGTTGGTACGGAAGCTACTGCTGTACTCTTGAGTTTAAAATGTTCCAGCAGCTAGGATGAAAAGGTGAATTGTTATACTGCAGAAATGAAATAATAATTCCGGTTCTAGGTAGCAGTTATACACAAAAGTCTTCGGGGGACGGGGGACCCACAAGATGAGACAATTTAGTTTTGCCCAAAATTCCCAACCTCATCAAAACTAGCCACATGGAAATTCATTTTGCTTCCACAAGGAGCATAGGACCCTTCCTTTGACTGTTGCAATATTCCTTTTGCTTTTGTTTAACTGCTTGTTTTGTGCTTTTCGCCAGTATTTTTATGTTGTGAACCGCCCTGAGATTTTCAGATGAAGGGCGGTATATAAACTTAATAAAATAATAATAATGTGCATTCAAATTGAGGCGATGTGTTGAAGTGAGGGCATGTGGAATAGCAGAAAGGCATGTGTGTGGATGTAATCTCATGCAGTATGCTAAACCAAACCAAAACAGCAGTGAGGGGGAAATTGTTCTCCAAGATTGCGGGGGGGGGGGGCAGAGGGAATAAGACATTGGTACACCAGGGAACTGGACTGCAAGATCAAACCTATCCATTCTTAAGGAAATCAGCCCTAAGTGCCCACTGGAAGGACAGATCCTGAAGCTGAGGCTCCAATACTTTGCCCACCTCATGAGAAGAAAAGACTCCCTGGAAAAGATCCTGATGTTGGGAAAGATGGAGGGCACAAGGAGAAGGGGACGACAGAGGACGAGATGGTTGGACAGTGTTCTTGAAGCTACCAGCATGAGTTTGACCAAACTGCGGGAGGCAGTGGAAGACAGGAGTGCCTGGCGTGCTCTGGTCCACGGGGTCACGAAGAGTCAGACACGACTAAACGACTAAACAACAGCAACACCAGGGAACTGCCTGGAATACACTATCCATGTGGCTTGAAAGTGGTGTGGGGTGATGGATTAAGATTGGAAGGGGGAAATCCAAGTCAATCACTATTTATTTCGTATTTATTTATTTATTTACTTATTTATAACCTGCATTTTCGTGTGTGTGTGTGTGTGTGTGTGTGTGTGTGTATACACACACACAGTATTAAATGAGCACAGTGTTGTTGCATCTCACCTATGATAAGGAATGAAAAAGACGTCCGACATCATAACTAATCTATAACTTGTGACCGTGCTGAAGCATAGGATGAGAACTTCAGATAAATCATTACAAATGGGGCTTTCATTCTGCTCCCTCTCCCCTATTCAGCATAACATTTTCAGACGACGAAGGGCCAAGCTGGGGTTAACTCTCCCTGACCAGAATGATGCAATGCACAATTGAGCCTCTGTCCTCCTGAGCCAAGCAGCTTTCACAGAGTGGTCCCTTTTAATTAGCAGCCTGAGATTTTCAGGACCTGACAATTTCTTCATGGCAACTAGCCAATAAGAGGAGGCCAAGCAGCCTCTGTTTCAGTTTGGCTTTGGCTCAGTCTGGTTGCAGGATGACAGCTTTTGGCACAGGTAGCATCTTACAGTGGCATGCGATTCGACAGAAGGGGGAGGGAGCATGAAGCATATCATCAAATAAAAACCCTGTCCATCTCTCCCCGCCCCCACCTCCCTTCCTGGTCCCCACTGCCCTTCCATCCACTTACTGCCTCCCAGCAAGCATTAGCAACAAAATCGCTGATAAATCTTGATAAGGAAGAATTGGTGCTTGGTCCTTTTCTGGCACACTCCCGTGGAACTCCAGATACCTCCAGGGGTGATGGAATTGACTGTTTGCCCAGAGAGCTTAAGCGCAGGAAGGCCTGATGCAATGTTACGTGTGCAATAGCTAGATGATGACTGACTCCAAAGATTTTCCAAAGCGCAGTCGGTAGAGCAGGAGGCTTTTAATCTCGGGGCTGTGGGTTCGAGCCCCACATGGGGGCTTTATCTATACTTTCCCTTTGTCCTATGATTTCTCCCATTTTCCCTGTGTTACGGAAATTACCCGGGGGGGGGGCACATCTTTAAAGTTAAATATTACAAATATTATGCCTGAATGTATCCTTTCAACTTGACAGCTCAGGGAAGTTACCTAGCTTTAATAATAATATAAAATCATCTCCTTTCCCAGTTTCCTCCATTCCAAAGCTATTTTCCCCTTGAAAAAAGACTCCAGGAAGTTCCCAGAGGTGACAATTGCTGGGCTCATTGTTAGCCAAGGGAAGCCAAATCTCATCACCTGACTCGCCTCAGGCTCCAGACATTCAAAGGAACTTCTATTGTACTTTTGGGTGGTGGGTACTTGAGACATATTTGTCTATGTTAATCTTATACCTGAGTCTTGTCCTGCCATGTCTGCTTATGCTAATCTGGTGACCAAGGACTTGTCTGGAGCCTGCTTACCAAGGTTAACCCTCTCCTTTGTGACATGTCAGTGATGTAGCAATGATGCTGTATGAACTGTATTCTAAGATATGGAGGAAGGTTTGAAGTCTTCTTGTCACTCCATCCTCGGGACTCTCAGATTTGCTCTTCGAACACTAGATTGCAAGCAATCAAATCTTCGGTCGATCAGCTATTTCCTCCAGTTGGTGGCTGGAATCCTTCCTTTATTCTGCAGGGACCCCCGGGCTCTGCCCAACAAGCTGGGTGACTGAGCAGCCTCACACCTAGATTTTTTCCTTAACACTGTGATTTCTAGGCCTGGGTCCGAGAGGTAATTCATTTACCCAGCTGCTAATCATGGAAAAAGGGCCTCTGTTTACTGATGATTCAGAACAAATGTCAGTTCTCAAAAAACCCTATGGATGTGCGTTCCAATTCAGCAGTGAACCCCGGGTTTTCTCAAAGGAAAGGAAACCCTGGAAGTGGAATCTTTGATTAGATGGATTAGACTATACCTTGAAAAGCATCTCCCCCAATGCACCAGACCCTATGATTGGCAGGTGAGGCTTTCTTCTATTATGGAAGTGTTTGCCACCCTAGGCTCTTTGGGGAGGAAGTTCAACATAACAGTAATAAAATATGATATCTTCTGTTGTCTTTGTCCATGGAGTTTTCTTGGCAGGGATACTGGAGTGGCTTGCCGGTTCCTCCTCCAGGTGGATCACATTTGGTCAAAACTCTCCACTATGACCTGTCTATCTTGGGTGCCCTGCTCGGCATAGTTCATAGCTTCTCTGAGTTATTCAAGCCCCTTCGCCATGACAAGGCAGTAATCCATGAATTATTGTGCTGGAGGAGACTCTTGAGAGTCCCATGGACTGCAAGAAGATTAAACCTCTCCATTCTTAAGGAAATCAGCCCTGAGTGCTCACTGGAAGGACAGATCCTGAAGCTGAGGCTCCAATACTTTGGCCACCTCATGAGAAGAGAAGACTCCCTGGAAAAGACCCTGATGTTGGAAAAGATGGAGGGCACAAGGAGAAGGGGACGACAGAGCACAAGATGGTTGGACAGTGTTCACGAAGCTACCAGCATGAGTTTGACCAAACTGCGGGAGGCAGTGGAAGACAGAAGTGCCTGGCGTGCTCTGGTCCACAGGGTCACGAAGAGTCAGACACGACTAAATGACTAAACAACAACAACAAATGATATCTTCTGGATTCTTCCACACCCATCTACTTACCTTTGCTGAAGAGACCACAACGGGTGGACAGACTAGATCAATACCTATTGAGTAAGGGTGCTGGTGACTTCCTTCAACAGTAAGTGAAATTGTAACCTATTTTGTTAGTTGCTTAGGGTGTGCTGTCCATTTCTTCCTTTTCCTGATGGAAGTATCTTCCTTTGTAACTTCTGTTATAGCAACTTCCTGCTGTTCTGCTGAAGTCAAGCTTCCTAATGTTGCCTGTGGTCCATCACTGGGCTAAAGGCTTTGCAAAAGGCAGCTTTGCTGGTTCTTAGGTTGAATGGTTTCTGCAAACAATAACGTTGAGGTAGGGTGAAGTTTGGCGTATCATTAAACAGCAGCAAATTGTCTGTTATTTAGCTTATTCTTTTATCTTTACCGTTCTGAATGGGATTTTATTTTTATTTTTCTGCTACAAGCAACAAGAAACCATGATAACATTTGGCTCCGTCCATCATTGACTTTGCTCCTGTGCACCACTGACAGGTTACCTCTAAAGGAATGTGGCACCTGGCAGAAAACAAAAATGGTTGCACATCCATGTGTTTTAGCTTTTCCAGATTTCAGTTGACTTTGCTGAAGCTACAGAGGTTTTTGTTTTTAACTTGTAAAGGTAAAGGGACCCCTGACCATTAGGTCCAGTCGTGACCGACTCTGGGGTTGCGGCGCTCATCTTGCTTTATTGGCCGAGAGCCGGCGTACAGCTTCCGGGTCATGTGGCCAGCATGACTAAGCCGCTTCTGGCGAACCAGAGCAGTGCACGGAAATGCTGTTTACCTTCCCGCCGGAGCAGTACCTATTTATCTACTTGCACTTTGATGTGCTTTCAAACTGCTAGGTTGGCAGGAGCTGGGACCGAGAAATGGGAGTTCACCCCGTTGCGGGGATTCGAACCACCGACCTTCTGATCGGCAAGTCCTAGGCTCTGTGGTTTAACCCACAGCGCCACCCGCATCCCAACAATGCCACCCGCATCCCTAACTTGTATGTTGCCTTAAAATATCTGGTACTGAAGGCTGGCTTGTAAATTGAACTAACAAACGAATAAATTGGATGTGTTTTCCACGCATGCAGATTTCACTGGCAAAAATGAGATTTAGAACAGTATTCACTGAATCTTAGAATCATAGAGATGGAAGGGACCACGAGGGTCATCTAGTCCAACCCCCTGCAATGCTGGAATATTTTGCCCAATGTACGGCTCAAACCCATGACCCTGAAATTAAAAGTCTTATGTTCTACCAACTGAGCTATCCTTCGGGTAAGATTCTGGTTATGTATGCCTGCTCATAGCAGACCCAAAATACAACTGTTTGGGTTCCTCCCCACTTCCATGGGGGAGCTAAAGACTTCTGAACCCTGAGGGAAGGCAGATATGAGGGAACCCAGACCAGGGAGTATAAATACCATCAGCGCCCTGTTAGCCTGAGAGGACTCTTACTCTACATTTTATATAATGTATTTGTTCTGGTGTTTTAACACTGCATTGGCCAAAAGGTAGTATGTAAATAAATAAATAGGGTTCAATCTGAAAAGAGTGGAGGGGAATTCAATGGATTATGTTTGTTTGGATTAAGCATCCCAACTCTAGTGTTAACCCATCCCAACACAGCAAACCCAACCAAATAAGTTCAGATTTCCACACCTGGTTCCTGACTAAACCCCAAAGTTGAGCTATATCTCTAAAGGAATGTTATGGTATATACTCCAGCTCAAATGAAACATGGCATAGCATGATAGTCACCCCGCCACCCCATAATTGAGGGGAATGTTTTTTCTACTTTTCCTACGCAGGTAGGAAAAGTGACCAAACATGGAGCTTATGCCTGCCAGGTGTCAATTTCACTGAGGGCAAACAAAACCAATTGCAAGAGAAAGTAAGAGAGGGGAAAGGGAAATAACTGCACAAACCTTTCTGCAGGCATTGCTGATCGAGAGCACTTTCAAAGATTTTCTTGAAATACAATGAGTATTGGCTCAGCCCTAATTTAACTGAGAAATGTGCTGAGTAATGGAGAATAAGCAAATGCTTGTAATGTGTGGCTTGGGGACTTGGATATGTATTACCCAACTCTTCAGCTGAAAAGGATCCCAGACCAGCTTACAAAAGATTAATGACAAACAACCTAGGCTTACAACCTAAAAGACATGGCACAAAAGGGAGAAAGGATGAGGAGAGGAGAGGAGAGGAGAGGAGAGGAGAGGAGAGGAGAGGAGAGGAGAGGAGAGGAAAATAAGCAAAGTCAACCACCAGCTCTTAAAGTTTTCAAGTCATTTTAATGAAAACAGGTCAAAGAGCAGAGGAGCCAGAGAGAGCTGGCCTCTTAGCAGAGCAGATGGGCTGGCCTCTGCTTCTCTTTTCTCCCTCTGTGGCAGCCAGGTGAGTTGCAGATGAGAGTCACAGGTGAGATGGTCAGGTCCTTGTTGTATACCTGGGATGTGCTGCAAACCTAAATTGGTTTTCGGTCATTTTGTCACAGCGTCCTCCAGAGAATCCTTCCCTCTACCACAGACAGAACATGTGAGGCGGGTGCTCTGTGCCGAAGCACACAGGTACAGAACCCAAATTTGCAGAGACTTTCGCCCCACTGCACACTTTTTTGGGAGGTGCGGATGGTACAGCTGAGGCTTCTGTGCATACCAGCAGCCACATGGAGTTTCCTCCTCTTACAATCCATTATGCACATAGCAGAGAGCACTGGTATGTGGCCGCTGCTCTACTGCACAAAGAGGACCATTGGCCCAATAAGTGTATGAACTGGGCTTTTGTTAGCAAATCTAGCCCGGTGAAACCGCAGAAGCAGGCGGCAAACCCTCCGCTCCCAGAGATGCTTTTCAAGGACGTCTGACAGTTTGAAGCTTAATAGTGACAGGTCTTTGGGCATGTTGTTGGGTGGCCCCTTTCCAGAATGTCACACACTCTGTTTGAAAGAATTGTCATGAACGCTTGTTTCCATATATGCATATTAATGTATGACATTGCTATCCTTGGCACCTCATCTACCAAACGTTGTTGAAAAGCCACATTCTAACATATCTTTAACTGTCAGCCATGAAGCATTTATTATTATTTTTTTGCTTTTGCTGTTGGCTTTGGAGGCTGCTCCAGCATCCATCAGTCATTCGGAACTGGTGGCTTCTGCAGTCTCCTACTGACTTACAGATGCCCTGTACCAAAGGAATTAAAACCCTACATGCCACCCTCTTGTTGTAGCTCCTCAGCAGCATGGGGGGAAAGTACCAGTAGCTCAGAATGTTGTTAGGTGATCTTCATCTCTTTGAATGGTAAGAAGCTCCAAAGACAGATACTCCAGGTTTAATCTCATTTAGCTATTACACACACAGAGAGAGGGGGGGATTTAAATATATCTGTTCCCCTAGGAAGCTCAGGTCAGCCACACAATCCTAGGGAGTAGTTACAGGTAGGTAGCTATGTTGGTCTGCCGTAGTCGAAACAAAATAAAAAAAATTCCTTCCAGTAGCACCTTAGAGACCAACTAAGTTTGTTATTGGTATGAGCTTTTGTGTGCATGCACACTTCTTCAGATACCCTAGATACCTAGGGAGTAAAGGTAAAGGGACCCCTGACCGTTAGCTCCAGTCACGGATGACTCTGGGGTTGCGGTGCTCATCTTGCTTTATGGCTGAGGGAGCCGGCGTACATCTTGCAGGTCATGTGGCCAGCATGACTAAGCTGCTTCTGGAGAACCAGAGCAGCACATGGAAACACCGTTTACCTTCCCGCTGGAGCGGTACCTATTTATCTACTTGCACTTTGACATGTTTTCGAACTGCTAGGTTGACAGGAGCAGGGACGAAGCAACGGGAGCTCTCCCCATCGCGGGGATTCGAACCACCGACCTTCTGATCAGCAAGCCCTAGGCTCTGTGGTTTAGACCACGGCACCACCCGCGTCTCACCTAGATGGCGATTGGCCTAATAGTTCACTTAGTGAGCCTCATGGCGAGCAGATCCAGACCTCTCCAGTCTAAGAACAACAAATAATAGATTAATAATAGCAAACTATTTTCAACATATAAATTCAACAAATCATAACATGGCCACATCTCTGCTTCATAGTAAGTGGCTGATCCAACAAAATAAATCATAACATGGCAGGTCATGCTCCAAGTAAATTATTTCGGTGTCATGGCTGTGATTCACGAGTGTCCTTTGTTAACTGTGGTAATATTTTTAATTAGATGAAGGGGCCTGGCAATTTCCCTGGGCTCTGACACCAAATATCATTTCAGATGTACGACATCATTCTTATCCTTTATGTTTCTGTAGGAAAACCCCATGATGCAAGCCCTTGGCAGCAAGGCAAACGTCTAAGAATTTAGTTCCAGTCTGCTAGCAGAGGGCCTGTTCCGATGGTTGCCAGCTCCCATGTGGTATAAACACAGTATGAATCACTGCTTAGTTTTTCTCCTGGAATTCTGTGTTTTGCTGAGTATATTTTCTATATCTTCCAACATAGATACAATAGGCTGGCCTCCATCTAAAATACTTCTTCTGTTGGAGCAGTGCTGAATTCCACTCTATAAGACGCTTGACTGAGGCAAAAGCCTTTTTCAAAATGGAAGGAAGGCTGGTCAGTTCCAGGCCAGTTCTGACTAGCTGGAAGCTATAGTGCAACAGCATGACTAGCTCCAGGTGTCCTAAAATATCAGAAAAGGTATTACCTACCTTATCGGGATGGTATCACAATACATGTTGATGTTAGGAATGCCCAACCCCCTACTCTGGGTTCACATGTAAAGCAAATATCTTCCAAGTCTAGCTCTTTTTCCTCTACGACAAAATCCCTCAGTGAATTTCTTCCAGTGTTTTAACTGCGTGGGCTGCAGATCATCTGGGAGGGCCTGAAACCAATATGCTTGCTTTGGGAGGAATATCATCTTTATTGCCGAAATGTTTCCCAGCCATGAAAGTCCTTCAGGAACAAATTTCCTCTTTCAGGTTCATAATTTCACTTTTTGAGCCGATGTATATCTTTTGTAATGATTATCCCTGGATAATTAAAACAGTTTGCTTGTAATGTTAGATCAGGCAGCTCACAATGTTAGATTAGACAGTTTCCGTATTGCTAATTGCTGTTTCCATGACAAGTTAAGACACATAAACTGGGACTGAGTATAATTAATCTACAAGCCTTCTACGTGTTAAAAAAAATCTGCTGGTGTCACTTTGAATTCTAGGATTCCCTCCCAAGGGTCAGGAAGAATGAGGAGAGGTTCTACAAATAGATTGATGACATGTGCTTGGCTTTCAATTTCTTACACATTGTTTTAATAATCCTTCTGATTTTATCAGCCAAGACTTTGATTGCAATAGCAAACAGAATCCCCAACAGAGGGCAACCCTGCTATTAGATCAGAATGTCTAGCATTCACACACACACACTAGTCTCCAATTTTGGATCGAGTTGTGAATCCAGGGCCATGAATTTTTCTCCAAATTGAAGTCTTCTGAGTAGCCTCAGCAGGAACAGCCACTCAAAGCTGTCAAATGCCTTGAAGGCATCAAGAGATAGTTGAGCCATGGGCTCTTGTTGACATGTCCTTAATGCAATACCTTTAGGATCCATCTGATTGAATCTACAAGATCCTACCCAATGTACATAACTTTATTGTACTAGCCATTGGCCATGACAAATCTGAATCAAAAATAAATACAAGCAAAAGGGGTGCTGTGCCACAAATAGCGAATCTACAACATGTCTACTTGGCACAGTTTAAGGTTTTCTAATATAATGAAAACACTTAGCTATTATGTCAGTAAGGAACTTTGCGTCCTGATTTACCTGTGCTATGGATGAGTAGGATCCCGTTTCTACTGAATCATTACCTAGTGTAGGGACTATGGTCAGTCTAGCTAGTTTCCATGAACTGGGTGTCTCCCTCCTTCCAAAATGCACTCACAGCTGAGAGATAAGCACCTCAGAGAACACTTTCTAAAAATTGCTCGTGAAACCACCCTCTCATGGGACTTCCCGTCTTTTCAGCCCACCTACCAGTTTTATTTCCTCATCTGACACAAGCTTGTTCCAATAATTTCTATGGCCTTCCAAAAGAAGAAGAATGGAGGTGTCATTTAAGCATTTGGCAATGCTTTGTGCATCCCTCAAGGTGTATAGTTCCTTGCAAAAGGATTCAAAAAGATTATTGGTGTTGCTTTATATGTCAGACTCCATCTTTCTTCTCTTGTACTTTATACTAAGGGTAATGTTCCTTTCAGCTTCCTTTCTCGAAGCCCTCACA